AAGCTCAAGGACCATCCAGAGAACCGCAGAAAGCTTTTTTCGCCACAGCCAAAAACTTGATCTCGTTCACCGCTAGTAGCCGAAAATATTGGTCCCTTACAAAACAAATTCCCGTTCCAACTTTCCCCCAATTTGTAATTGATCTGGTTATCTTGTAGGTTGAAGCTGAGCTTCTTACCTCCAAGTGTGCCACCAATTCCGACCTATCTAATTATCCTACTCCTACAACTGCTTTCCATTTCACCGAAAACCCTTTTTCCCACATATTATCACTAGGAAAGTCCCAAAAACGATTGCTCTCTTTCTCTCTATACACGAACAAACCACTCGGTCCTGACCGTACCCCCCCCCTCCACTGTCCCTAAAACGTGTGCTTTTAAGCTGGGTCTTAGTTTAAGTCACCAATCAATTATTCCCTCCAACTTCCTACTATTTCTGTCCCTTGGAACCATGCCGTGAGTTTTCCCGTTCACAAACGCGGCCACCTTTCTGTCCCCAACAATTACGAACCACGTTCTTCGAATGTGAAGGACTATTGAGCGACCGCCAGTTTGGTTTCCAACACTGGTGTCTTGCTGGCTCTGGACGGCTGAATTCGATAACCTCGGAGAAACACTCGGCTTTGCTTGATACCTCAAAGGCCTTCGGCTGAGTTTGACACGAAAGTATACTGGCGAAACTTCCCGTGTCCGGGTCCCCTCCGGCGCTCTTAGCGTTGATATTGAAGTTCCAGAGTAAACGAACCGTCTCCTTCCGGGTTAATGGTTTTTTTCTCGGCCGGTCCCCGTGAATGCTGGCGTTCCCCAAGGTTCAGTACTTGCAACGATCCTCTTTCTCCTATTTATCAATGATCTTCTTTTTGAAACCCTCAACCCAATCCATTCTTTTGACGATGACGTCACCCTCCACTACTCCATCTCCTACTTGCCATGTTTAAACCAACATTGTGGTTAATCTGTCACTGGACACCGATCCTGTACATATTCCCGCATGGGGCAATGTCAACCACCTTTCATTCAATGGTTCTAAAACCTCCCTTGTTTCAATTTCTCTGAAACATTATTCGTCCCGCCCCTTCTCATTTATTTTTTGATTCCACTCAGTTGTTTTCCACAGACTCTGGTTCCCTTCTTGAATTGCCTATTAATTGTTCTTTATGCTGGTTCCCTTTGATAGCTCAACTTTCCTCTTGTGCTGCTTTCGAGGTTGGCTTTCTATTCCACGCCCAAGGCTTTTTCACCTCAGCTCATTTTTCACAGTACAAAGTGCAAATCCGCGATGCTGTTGAATACTGCAATCATGTGTGGAGTGGGGCTTCTTCTTCCCGTTCCCTTCTTCATTGTGTTCGACGAAAATCCGGATAATCGATAAGCCTTCTCTAACATCCAGTATCTGAAGTCAATAGCCCATCGCGGGGTAGTTGCTTCATTGTCATTACTTTACCGTTACTACTTTGATTTTTGTTCATCCGAGCTTTCTTAGGCAGTTCCTCTTCCCATAACTTTTTCCCGTCCATCCCGTACACAGGCATCTAGTCTTCCTGATCAGATTTCAGTCCTCAGATGTCATGCTTCAGTCTTTATTTTAGCCCGAATCGCCAAGTTGTGGAACCCCATGCAACTTTGTGTCTCTCTCCGATTTGGTTCCAATTAAATCAATTGATGATACTTGCACAACTCAAAACAAAATTCGTGCTTGTTAAAACTTGATGAGAATATGCTTAACATCGTTTATCTCTCCTCATAAATGCAGATGACTAGCTGGGATCCATTTCTCATTTTTATCTTTTCCGGGCCGAAAGAGACATGAAACTTCTATGTGTGAAATCAACATATATTTAAGGATGCATCATTCAGAACAATGTCAGTGTTTCCCGGGCATACACGTTTCATATGCGCCTTCCGTGTCCAAAAATGGGGGTAAAAGAAAATCGATGTCCGCATGGCTAATAGGTTTAACAAAACCCTACACGAAAATGATCGACCAAACATACGCTAATCAGTCACAAGTTCAGATTTGAGAATAACTCAGACGCACCAAACAAAGTACTGAGGTTCCCAGTACTTCTTTTTTTTAATAACGATAACGTGAGGGCACTGGTCTGATCACCAGCAAATGAAAACAACATCAAGTTAGCTGGGCGGTGATAGTTTTACTGGGGGTCCACATACTATGCTGTTTTCTTCACTACTACTATTTTTTTGAGAGTTATTCTCAAAAAAGAGTGCACAGGAAGACGTTTTCGTCAGTTATTCTAAACTGAATACTTAAATTTCGATAGTCCCACCGAATATAGGTATCTACCACTGATGTCGTGAGTGTGAGGGTACAATGAACTGTTAATTCTTTTGCCTGCTTGAATTTACCTGCCTCGCTGTGCTAACCATGTATCTATTCGTTACTTCAGCGGTTTTCTCCACGAATTTTACAGTAGCTGGAAGCTAACGTTTGAAAGTGAAGAGATAGTTGCGTTAATCGAAAGTAAAACACGTTACAGAGTATTGAATGATAGGCAAATCAGGAGCTATTTGCGAAGATCAGCTTTGCTAGCCGATTGGTTGAAATTATCCCCGGACAAGTAACTTGTATGATGAAACTTTTGAAAAAAATGGAGCCTGAAATCAAGAAGATTTTCTCACTGATATATATGTATATAGATATATATATTTCCCATACGGCGCACGCATGTCCACCAGTTATATACCAAGTAAAAGTAACAAATCTAAAACATTTCTGTTCCTAATCGTGTTTTGTGCTACTCCTGCTGCTGCTGCTGTAATCTGAGAATTGACTAAAAACCGAACCGAATATACCAGATGTACAAGAAAGCATGCGCTCATACAAAACTTGATCCGTCCGCTTTGTTTATTCAAGCACTCACTGATGGATAAAAATGTTAATAATTTTACGCACATTGTGGATTATTACAAGTTGGTAATGCATGCATTGATGCCAGCAGATGCCAGCTTCTCCTAGTCCTAGTCGAAATTTTGTACCACTGGGTGAAGAAACCGCTCCGATTTCGCTCGTGAACTCTGCGCTGTTCACGTTTGCATCGGTTAGAAGGACAAATAAAACCATTGATCCGGTTGCTTACGCTCCCAATTGGAGTTGTAGCAGTTCCACAGTGATCCGGATCGCATCTTGCAACAGAATATCAGAAAACTCATCCTATAACTTGTTCCAGGTAATCAGGTGATTGGATGTGATCCGCACGGGATGGCATGTGACAAGCAGGTCGAGAAAAGTAAGACCAATTTCGGTCACATCACATCAATGCGCGATGCCGGGATCCGCAATATTGTGTGTGCATCATCTCTGTTCAATCGCGTCACGAAAACCGTGTATCACAAATTAATGATTTGAGGCTCATAAAAGGCACTCTTTTCTCCAATAACATGAAATGATCTATGCGTTTGTTGTGTGATTAGATAGGAAGTCGCATATACAAACATTGTATGAAGCGATCACCAAATAATTCCAATAATTTGAAACGTCATTTTTGACTGCACTAAATATGGTATTGAGGTCTTTGCTATGGACATCATTCTTTTTGCAATAGAATAAAATTATTCGTTCGACTTGCAGTCGTGCCAGAAAGAGACATTGCTCTATCAAACCGTCCACAGTCGGGGACCAAATAATGACCAGTCAGCTGCAATAAGTCAGTCAGTCAGTCAGTCAGTCAGTCAGTCAGTCAGTCAGTCAGTCAATCAGTCAGTCAATGAGTCAGTCAACTATTCTATCAGTCAACCTGTCGCTCTATCCGTCTTTGTGTTTGTTTATCTTACTGTTGAAAACACGTTCGTCAACATGAATATGCTTGGGTCGTCTTCAGTTAGAAATAAAACTGCCCTTTGTTACATGGAAAACATTCCTGGATTCCAAAACACTCACTATTGTCCAATATCTGAATGCAGTTACACCCGCAGCTGGTTCATTATCTCATTATCTCGGATTTATGCAGAAATCTGTTATATCTTACCTCTATTTGTCTGTTTGGACTCGGACGATGAGGTCTGACTATCTCTGTTTGATTTGAATAGCAATGGTGTGAACTGACCTATTTTTGAAACATCAATGCCCATGTCGCGTGCAAAAATTGATCTGACAGTTTAAAGTGGCAGATTTTTGACCATGATATCAACACATGAGGTCAGTCGACTAAGGACCAGGAACGCACACACATATCCCGCCAGTAGCTCGGTTTGTGCTTCGATCAACATTCTCCGTGCATAGACAAAGTCGTGCGAACAGATCAATTATACCATTTTTGTGTTGGTTTGCGCATGTACACACATCTATCTATTCACTGGCATTCATTTCAATACACGGAACACCGAGATCGACCGACTGATCAATAGATCGACCAAACAATCGACCAACTTGTACGTATGTATCGATCGGTAGATAACTCGTTACATATTCGCCAGGTATTCATTATACGAAATGATTAATCAGTTGGGCTGTTAACATAGTTATTAATGTGTATAATTACTGAAATGCGGAGTTCCTTACAAATGATGTCTTTTGGATTTACATGAAGGTCGGTGCGATTCTTTTACACTATCAACCACTGATACAGTTAGTATTTACGCGTGTACATTGGTAAATAAAAGAGTATTTGATATTTCTAGGATTAAAAACCGAGCAGCGCTTGTAGTCCATCTGTTTACGTTGGAAAAACTACCGTTGTGTCATTTAGTATCTTATTATCTGACAAAGGAATTAGGGAAAGAAACACAAATAAAAGATGAGATTAGTGTTTGTGCAATTTATAGTCGATACTCTTTTCGTGAGCTTATCAAGGAGGCTCTGACATGCAAAAAATAAATGAAACCTTAACCATTTTGTCCAAGTTTAGCCGTCTAATATACAGAGATGCGACTGAATAAGGAACGCAGTGTTATGTTGCCTGAACAGTAATATCCAATGCTGACAAATTCTAGCCAATCAATAGGATAAACGGTTTGGACGGACAAGTAAACAAAAAGGATTGTAAATTTTGACTCCGAACATTTTCCAAATAAATTAGCTCGTTTTGTTCAAAACGACTCGGAAAACAGCAACAGATAGCGATATTCGGGACCGGAAAAACTGTGAACGAACTGGATTAAGAAATGCACTCATCGAATACATTCATAATACTAAAAGAAATCCACCCATGAAACAGGGTTGCATCTAAGCCTTTCAGTGCGACCAGTCACAGAGTTCACTAGGGAATCTCAAAAGTGTCATCATTTTTCAAGTAATTAGATAAAAAGTATGTGATGCAAACATTGCCCTAGGATGAAAAATATTTGAAGAGTTGTTCGAAACCGAATCCTACTAATTGTAAAGGTTGATTTTTTTCGGATGGGGTGCGTTTAGCATCAAAGCTAATTGCTTTTGAATCGTCAATGCCATTTACTCAAGTTTACTAATTCAGTGGATCATTCTCGTGTTTAATTCCTTCAAGTCCCTCTCCCCGTCAGAACAAGTCAACGTATCCCTACTAAATCTAAGCACACACCTAATGTGTACCCCATTTGCGTTTAACAAAAGACTACCAATACCCTCAGTATTTGAACCCATGGGAATAAGTAAAGTCTGTTGACAAAGTTGCCATTTAGGAAGCAGGACTCTACAGCTTTTTGATCAATCAAGTGAGCATTCATTGAAACATTGACAGGACGAAACACGGAAGCTGATTGAATGCTCCCTTTTTAAGCCAGTGGTATTTCGTTGTGCATATTACTTATTACGATGGATTTGTTTCAATAAACCAAACTGCATCTCAGTTTCTATTGATCCGGTAGACCATATCGGGCAGGATTCCTAGTGCTGAACTGAAGATGCTGCTAATAATATCACAAATCAATTTGTATTGGTTGTCCTCATGCGAAATCGAATCTGTATTGCATGGTTCTGCAATGGAATTGAGCAAACAGTGTTGTAAAACCCCCATCCACGGGAAACAGCACACACAACAGTCCCTTCATACATCACCAATCGCCAGCAATCCGTAATCCGCGTAAGTTACTGAATACAACTAGATTAGTTTTCAGAAAACTGGCACCAACCAACCTGCCTTTGTTTATCAAATTTCTGACTCAGCGTATGCATCCACCGGCCCATTCCGTGTGTTGGTTCTATCAGTACTACTACTTTCACCCTGGATTGTTTTTGTCAAGGATTCACATTGGCCCATATCTAGGCCATCTTTCCTTAATTAATGTATTCAGGCTCATCACTCAAAAAATTGTGAACCCGTGTAGTCTGACTGTTTCGTAACGGGTTCATCAAAGTGTAGTACGTCAGCGTCGCCATCAGAATTAGGCTTCTGCCTTGTTTTCGGGTTGATTGCATCAGAAAGCTGTTTTTCTATGATCAATGGTTTATTTCGCCTCAGCGACTGGACAGCTACAGAGAATTCGCGCCATTCCGTTAACCCGAATTCACCTTGGTCACGTGATATTCATAAGCAGACAATCACACAATCCGTAACTCGAATGTAGGATCAAAAGATACAGACAGGCCAATCGATTGACTAGCTCCACCAGATTCACGATTTGTGTGTGTGTCTAGTAGTAACGGCCTAATCGAAACGTTTCAACCCAGTCTTCTTGAATCGGACTGATCGCTTATTTAGCCTAAATGAATTTACCGTAAAACCCGTTATGGTATAAAAGCTTCTCTAAAACGGAAAAATAGAAAACTGAATTGCTTTTGCTCAGAATGTTCGTCTTTCATCGATTTGTATTAAGGGGAAATATGTGTATTTAAAAAATACGTTGGTCAACATATCAATCTCTAAGTGGCTTATTCAATTGTTTCAAGCTGACATAGCGGCTAACTCTTCTTCCGAAGGACCTCTGGGGAAAATGCTCTCAATTATTGGGGGCGGAAATACATTGTCTACCTGTTTTGTATGGGTCTTTTGAGTAAGCCCTGATGTACAGAAGAGCTAAACTTACCCGAAAATGACTAGTCATAGAAAATAACGATTATTTCCATTCAATTCGATAACGTGTTACCCTTTCCGAGCGTCTATCACCAACCTCAAGTGTTTAACAACGCGTTTCATGACATACTTAAACAGCAAAACGTAACCTAACAAGGACAAAAACGAATCAAAAGCAGGGGGTTTGGGAGAACCCGAAGTTTGCAGGTGGCCGTAATAATGGTTGGTGCTACTAACAGTCTGTAAGGGCAAAACAGTCTTCTATTTACTTACCCACCACAGTTGGTTCCAAATCGGCAATCACCGCGCGTGGCACATATTTTCCGGTTGCTGTCTCACTGAAGAAAGTGCGATACGAGTTGTCCATAGCGCCACGCAGTGTGTGCTCATTCGGTTGGCACCCGTCCGGTTGAATTCCGTGCTCCAGACAGTACAACTCCCAACAGGCATTCCCGATCTGGACACCAGCTTG